AGGGTTTCGGCCATTTTTAAATCCCTCGTAGCCGCCGATTTAAAAGACCACGGTTGGTTTCTGCTACGCGAGGACGACGCGGTCGCCCCCTGGTTCCCTGACCCCCTGCTCCTACCACCGCCGAGACGTCTCGGCGACAGCCGTCACCATCGGCATGCTGTTCTTTCGTTTCGTCGTATCCCATCCCAGGATACGGCCTTGCACTCGCAGCTTTTTCCCGCGCTTCTTTTCTCACGCATACGCGCAACACGCGCACACGCGTACACAACGATCGCTCGTCGACGCTCGGAGCAGCGTTCGGATGCTTAAAATTTTGCGGGTATACGTGTATACGATAACTTCCACCGATCGCTTGCTCGGCTCTACAGCGATCGACGGTATCGTTCCGCGACGATTAAAAACTACGAAGAGACACGCGCGAGAAGATGAAACTGCGGACACTCGAAAATTCGATGTCTCTGCGATGCTGGAAACGCTTACGCCCCTAATGCAACAACAGCGACAGCAACGACAGTGGTTAAAGAACGAAATTGGAACAAAATAGATGTTTAAGTTTCTCGCAGGTTTCTTCCTTTGGGTTGGTCCTTTCACGATCTCGGGTAAATGTACGGGCCTATTCTTAGGACCGCGACACGCAGGTACTGCACAGAATGGGCAAGATCTTCCCACACCTACCTGTGAATTCGACCAAAAAAACAGACCGATCGACGCGAAATATGTCGCAAGATTTATTCTTCGGATGATTCCAACGATCCCGTATAGGTTTCTACGTTTCGTAATTTCAGAGATAATTGTCGAAGCAAAATATGAAACGAAAAAGAAAACAGAAAAGAGAAAAAAGAAACGAAGAAAAGGCGGGAACGTTGAAACGAAACGATCAGCTGAGAAATACTTTGTAAGTAGCAGTCATTCTGTTGGAAACCGGTTATCTTAGCGTGGGCTATGTTGGCGGGAAATCTCCTCCAATGAAAGTTTCGGATTCTTTGACGCACCACCACCACCATCACCACCTCCTCCTCCTCCTCCTCCTCCTCCTCCTTCACTCCCCCCTTCTTCCTCCCTCTATGCTTCCTTCCAACCGACAATCCTACACCCTGGTTCTCTCTTTCCCTCCGTTTTTACATCCTTCTTCCTCGCTCGCCTCTCTCTCGAAACCGTTCGCGCTGGTTTTCTTAGAAGGAACTCAAAGCATTTGCATTCACGGGCGGGACCACCGCATAGATCGTCTGTAACGACCGCGCGATCATTTTTCTGTACCGTTCGAACTTTCGTCGCTTTTCCAGGACGAAATTCCTTTGTCGAATGCGAACAACACCGGAGAGAAAAGAAAGTATTCGCACAGCTTCTGAAACGCAAGAGCTTCTTAAAACTGCACCAAACGATTCGAATTTTTGTTAGACGATAGAGGGGGACTGGTATACCGGACGATGCCTGTTACCGCAATTTCTGCGATCATGCTGGCACGCGAGAGCTTCCGTTTATCTTACTTTTACCATTTACGTTTACGTTTATGTTTTTGATTTGCAATCGGCCCGGTATCGAGGGAAAAGAAAGCGGGACGTCTCGAGACCGACGACGAACCAATAACATCGAATCACAAGAATGCCGAGAATAAGGAAACATTGAAAATACAATAGAACGCCAACACCGCGCGCTCGTACGCTGAGCCAAAGGTCAGCGCGGGAAGCTGTCTCCATGCGGGAGCAAAGTGGGCGTTCTTCTTGGCGAGAGAGAGTAGAGAAGGATGCGGCGAACTCGGTTGCCCGAATCGTTTTGTTCGATTTTTTAACGGTCGCGTCGAAAGAACGACGAAAGAACGACGAAGAAAATAACAGACAGAGACGCCGTGCACACAGAGTATACGCGCATCGGAGTCGGTAAAGCGAACGAGAAAGGAGATCGAACGAAAGAAAGAGCGATTGCACCGATAGCGCCGATACGATGGTTCTATCGAAATTCGCCTGCCACGATTCGTTGCGAAGTCGAAACTCGTCCAGGAAAAGACAACCCGAGTCTTTCGTTTGCCACGAATACGCGGTATCTTCGATATCAATTGTATCGGAATACGTATTTGTCTGGATCGAGCGAATAGCGGGAGAAAACGAAAGAACGATGAAACGAGGTGGAACGTGTGCGAGAAACGGCCGTGCGCGAGTCAACGTTATGGAAATACAGGGTTCCCCGGAAAGAATCTCATCCGATTTCAAAAATTTATATTTTAAAAAATTACACACAGAAAATTATAATTCAAACACGAATGTAACGGGAAAATGTGCGAGTTTTTGTTTACAAGTGTTCAATATGACTTCCTTCCGTTACACGTATGATATCATTGCGATATGAAAGTTCTTGCCAAACACGGTGTAACGTATCTCTGGTAATTGTTTATACAGCATCGCAAATGCGTTTTTTCAGTTCATTTACACTTGTAGGTAAAGGTGGTACGAAGACAATATCCTTCACAAATCCCCAAAGGAAGAAGTCGCATGGGGTTAGGTTGGGTGACCTCGGAGGCCAACTGTGTAGAACCATATTATCGGATGAACTGCGACCAATCCAACGGTTTGGTAGTTCCGTGTTAAGAAAATTCCGAACCTCCAAGTGCCAATGGGGTAAAAAGTAAAACTCGCACATTTTCCCGTTATATTCGTGTTTGAATTATAATTTTCTGTGTG